TTGCTGTCATTAAAAAGTTACTCCATATTTCTTTCTTACATCTGAAACTAACTACTCACACCTCTCTACACTGTGCTCCACCTGCCACAGTTCTTTTTTCTGCAGTCATATTATCTGTAAATGGCTCTTTTTTAAATTCAATCCTGCTCCAGTTGAATAAATATATAGGATGATAACTGCCAACTCTTGCCAACAGTACTTTCCATACTTTCCAACTTCTTCTGATATTACATGCAACAGCTGACAGTAAAGGCACATGAAATTAGCATTGTGAGACAAAATTGAGAAATAAGGATTGGGTCACTGGCTCATCAGCAGATTTTTAAACCTTCTAGTTTCTGGAGGATTAAAAAACCTGCTCTCCAATTTGTGGGTTTCGACCGATCAGAAAGCTGTTTGGATCTATCCAAAAACAGTTTATTTAGTTTCACGGGTCTTCCAGCCCAACAAGTTTAATCATAGAAGAAGAAAGAAAACATCAGGCACAGGAAATAACAACTCTTCAAACTTTTATTATCTGATCTGGCTAATCTCTTGCAGGATAGTCTCAATTTTATGTCATAAATTCAGTGATAGATTATCAGAAGCCCCACAGAAGTTGCTAATTCTTCCCATTGAAAACACTTAAGTAATATTGGCATTGATGGGAGTTTCCAAAAGACTGTTGCAAGAATTTTTAGATGGGCAATAAATGGTTTAATGTTGAAGGCAAATAATCTATTCTGATAACAAACTTAAATAAAAACTCACAATTCAGAAGGCTATATTTTATGTGAAGATAGTTGTATATTTCTGTCTTCTTTTCATAATTAATTCAGGGAATGTGGGTGTTGCTAATTATTGCCCATCCCTAATTGCCCTTGATAAGGTGGTGGTGAGCTGTCTTCTTGAACCACTGTAGTCTATTTGCTGCAGGCACATCTACAATGCTGCTAAAGAGGCAGTTCCAGGATTTTAGCCCAGCAACACTGAAGGAATGGTGATATATTTCCAACAGTACCAGATGGGTAGCCTGGATGGAACTTGGCTGTGGTGTTCCCACATATCTGCTGTCTTTGCCCTTCTACATGGTAGCACTCCTGGGTTTGAAAGGTGCTGACTAAGGAGCCTTGCTGAATTGGTCAATGGAAACCTCCAGGATGTTAAGAGTGGGGTACTCAGCAATGGAATGTCAGTGAATGCTCATTTCATCATTTTTTTTAAGTCCAAGTGGTTCTTACCTTTCATTACTAATTATACCAATCTAACAGAAGTAATTTTAAAAGAAACCTACATTTTCAAACTAAGAAAACTAACAAACATTATGAAACATTTTGGATCTAGCTTGATGAATCGGCTGTTGTACTAAGGCCAAATATATCATTGCTGATATAAAAGTCTAATTTACATCCCTTTTTAGTCTTCAGAATGAAGGAAGATATATCTTGTTCAATTATTAATAAACATCTGCAACAAGTTCAAAAAGTGCACTTGGAATTTGCAAGTGAAAAACTTAAGCAATGGTTTCCAACATGCATAAGAGAAGAACAATCTCCTTACTAAACTTTTCCTGCCAAAATCTTTCCTCTTCTGAAGTTTTGACCCATGCCGAGGCATGGTTTCAGAGCCAAAACCCACAAATCTGTATGTTCTAATAGGGGAGATCAGCAATCAGCAGTGCAACTCAAGAGGTCCGTTCTCCCCACCACCTCCTTTATTGAAAATGCTCACTCACGCTGGGGCATAATTCCAGAGATGTTGGCCACCTCAGTTTCTCACCCAGTGGATATGCTTCATTAATTTATATTATATTCCATTATATTCTGGGAATCAATACAATTGCACCTGATCCTGCAATCATTTAACTCTACAAACACACTCACACACAAAACAAAGATCGCCGAAAAGCAATCAGCAACCTTGGCTGAATTTCCTTTGCCCTATTCCAAGATGCTGAGGCCAACTTTAGTACTCTTTCTGCTAACTCAGCCGAAATAAAAAAATCCAGTATAGTTTGGTTGTCAATTTTTCAGCCGCGCGAGAAATATGTCATTGTTAACCCTTGCAATTGTGTTAAGTTCATACATTTAAAAATCATGACAAAGAATATTTTATGATTCATGGGACCAGCATGGATTAGCAAGCAACTGAAGTGCTTTTATAATGACAGGTAAATTTACATGTATGTGAATGGGTATGAATAAAAATGCATCCATTAGAAATGCAAAGAAATAATAGGTGAAATAGATAAATCAATGGATTGACACCTAACTAGCTCCCCTTTGTAGACAGCAAAGCTAGTTTGGTGGAGATGAACTAGGAGCAGTTTTAGATGATTGGAGATTTATGAAAATAATTTATTACCAGCAGAGATGAAACTCCACAGTTTCTATTATTTTCTTGTAAATAACAAGACTTCACAGTTTAGTTGTTAAATAATGTGCTAATGCAGTTCCATAGGGAATTTGATGATGAGGCCCATCCTTCAATGTGCTGACCATGAAACATCTTAACATTTTGTGGCAATTCAATCCATGTGATATTTCTCACACATCACACGTTGCCAAAGTATATAGTAATATTGTGTGTGCATTAAACTTACCATAATTTTGCTAGAAAATCCTAGGCAATTCTACCAAAGTTATGTCAATGGGATTGAGCCCAAAATGCTTGCTAGGGTAAATAGTGGAGAAGTCAGGTTGGGAAAGCCTTCTGGCGAATTGGAAGATCAAACTCGAAGACCACAATCATTTTGAAGGCTATTGTGATGGATATTTAGAAGCTATCCAATAAGTTTTTGCTTAGATGCCAGTAGGCCTTCTACAGTAAGTTGTGGGATTTGGAGAGCATACCCTACGCTGCTTACTTCTACTGCTGAAGCCTGAGTAGAAACCGCTTATGCACTAATGGAGAGACACAAGCAATGACTCACATTACTGAGTTGTGACCCTTTATGGACTAACTGTCAGACTAATCACCTAAAGAAGAGACTTTCATTTGGCTGCTAGGATTTGCATTCACTAAATAAATAAATGAAAAGGTATTCACAGACAGTACAGACCCTACATCCACATCACATTTGTTCCTTCATAAGTATAAACATATCCTTGGCATCATATATTTTGTTAATTTAGAGTTCAGTTGGAGTTGTGACAGAAATGCATCAAATACTATTCACTAGCAATGTGACTTTTCCTCTTGTAACCTACGGCACTTAAGAAGTGAATTGCAGTTGCCAGTGGTAAGTTTATGCAATCAGTCCTGTATTACTTTAAGGCTGGTCAAGTTGACCTCTGCACAAATATGCATCCATGGTCATTGAACTGATGGCTACATTTCAAGTCAGGGAAGAATTGATTCAATATAAATTAAAGAACAACTTTAAAAAATTAACTAGCTCCAAAGTGTCCCAACAATTATAACGCTACAGATCCTGCAAAGCCAACACTAAGTGAAACAATTTCCTTTAGGTGGCCTCACAGTGACTATGAGTATGCTATCCATTAAGCAACTTATTGCTTAGCTATGCTGCTGCTTTTGAATCGATTAAACATTGAAAGCACTTTGCATTGACACAAATACAGTATAATCTGGTTGCATCTTGACGATTATTTTAGCACCAAACTAGTGAATTGGTATTGAACTAATCATTCAGCAAATGGATTACAGTTTTTATATTCTGTATTTTAGTAAAATCAATATTTTGACCCCTCTGCTGCACTTCAGTTCTCTTATAGTTATCATGATATATGCAAATAGTAACACTCATATTAATTATTATTATATAATTCATAATTCTAAAGTGAAAGCTAAATATTTGGCTCAAGTCCATCATAAACAAAGGTTAATGTGTTGTTACTTATTAAGAGAAATGGCAAGAGAAGCCTGCCCTGATTGAGACTTTCAAAACTTTTAATTTGACTCCTTAAGGAAATATGGGAAATTTGTTGGTACTTAAATAATTGGCTTCAGAATCACATAAGTGGATTATTGTTTGACAATTTGAAAACAAATGAGTAAAGCAAAATAATGTTGAACACATGAGGGTTATAAAATATTGTTTTAATTAACTTATTGCAAGAATAGTATTTTGGAAACAAATTCTTTCAGTTTTGCATTATACATATAACATATTCCTTTAGAAAATGTAGTCATTAACAGATTATTAAATGTTCTGGTTGGGTGGAAGTGGTGTAGATGGGCAAGAAATATAACTTGCCTTGTAGTGCCAGATAAACAACTCCCACAATATTGTACAGTAAACTATGAAAATCTGTCAGGGATCTTAAAAAAAAATCCATTTCTTTAATGGGGCGAATTCCCAAGGTTAAGTGCCCCATTCATGGACTGTACACATTTTGACTTAGCAGTTCTACCAAGAAAGGATGGCAAAAATGGAAGTGAGAACACGTATACAGAATAGTTAGACAGTTAGTCTTAAGTCATACTGTATATATTAACACAATATATACAGAGTAACAGTAAATAATGACCTCTTTGGTAAATCTAGGATTCAGGGTGATGCTTTTAGGTGAATGTTTTTTCCATCAAGGAAATTGGAACACCTGTAATATCCCAGCTCCTAGAATCAACATCAATCATGAAAAATCAAAAGCAGCCTCTGTTTCTCAAGCTAAGCAAATTATGTTCCTTTACCCAAACTCTAAAAATTGCTCTTATTTTGAATCCAAATCTATTCATTTGCAAATCCCATAGAAGTCATCCTATTTCGAGAAAACTACAAACTAATATTAGTTTGGCTGCCATTTTGTGCTGTGAACATGTCCCCAACAGAAACTGCACAAAGACTGGCCACACTCACATCACTTTGGCTGTCTGCAGTCAATACAGGGAGAGACTTTCAATCAATAATTGAACTGCCTTTAAACATAGGTCGCATAGATGAAAGAAGTGTTCTAACATTCAGTTTCTTTTCTTTAAAGTTATAAGATTAACGAGTCCTCTAGAAATAGGCAGATTCTAGGTTCATACCATGCACAATTTTGCTGATCACTACTCACCATAACAATTCCTCCTGACTGCTCAGCTGTGCACATACTCATGATAGGTGCCATTCCAATGGTTGTTCCTTGGAAGTACACTCCGCTGCAAATGTATAACAAAAGAGACTTCAGCATGTTATGAAATTAAAGATGTTGCCTTTCTGAATTTAGTCATAATTTCAGTGCTTTCTATCTGTTCAGTAACAGCAGCAGGGCTGATGCTGAGATTGATAGTTGGGACTTCTGGCATGAAGACAACTCTTTGACAAATGTTATTAACAGCTGGTCACACAATTATAGAAACAAGACACAACAGTTAACAGTCAATAAATTGCTGAGAAAAATATCAGAGATAGTAAGAACTGCCGAACTGGAGTCAGAGATAACACAGTGTGGAGCTGGAGGAACACAGCGGGTCAGGCAGCATCAGGGGAGCAGGAAAGTTAATGTTTCGGGTTGGGACACTTCTTCAGAAATTTGTCAACTTTCCTGCTCCTCTGATGCTGAGAAATATATCTCCATTTTACAATATTGATTATTATCCCATTCTTTTTACCCCTTTTCACTTGTCTTGAAGATTATAGCTCCCTGAGTCACCAGTTCATGAATATACCTTTCACAAATTACGTTATAAATAAGCATTGACCTTTTATCAGTTAAAAACAATAACAATGACTGAAGAAAATATTGCATCATAAGCCAAAACTGCAGATGATAGCTCCAAGCATCCATCTTTAGAAGTGATTTTGAGTCATCAATACACAGCAGCTTCCTAGATAATAGACATTGAGATACATGTCAAGGTGTTTGGCATGACATGTCTGCTTGAAGATTACTGCATAAAAACCTTTGTTATATTGGCAAATCAACCTTTTCAAAAGAATTACAACTTCTTTTGAGAAGGAGGGACTTAAAACACAGGCCTTCCAGTATAGAGGTAGGGACTCCAACACTGTGCCATTGGAGCTCTTGTAAGCCCCAAAGATATTTCTAATTGACCCGTTCAGACAGGTTATGACATGTCTGGAGTAGGTGGCATTCCTGGCCTGGAGATAAGTACATGACCACTATACCATAAGAAGCTCTAAGTCATTGCTATTAATTATGTGGGGAGATTGTTGATTGATTGATGTGCAAACTTGCTCCACTCAGTGTTGGTTATTTTTAATTAAATGGTCAAGGTGTTGGTGTGTTCATTTTGATTCCAATATGTTGATCCACGTATTCCAACGGCTAGGGGGCTGTTGTAGCACCATGGTAGTGTTCCTATCTCTGAACCAGAAGGCCCAGGTTCAAGTCCCACCTGCTCCAGAGGCATGTTATAACATTTCTGAACAGGGTGATTAGGAAAATAAAAGAATTCCAAAGGCTAGATAGCCACTGGAATTGTGTACTGGGATCATGCTGACACAGCTGCCTTTGTGGGAATTGCCAGGAAATCTAACATTCCGCTGGGCAATTCCCCTGCATCTGGAATGCTCCAAAGAAGCCCCTTAAATTTAGAGAATTCCAACTCAGTTAAGTTTTATAGTTACCCAGGAGATCACAGAGGATTAAAAACCTACTCTAACACCTACACTGACTACCCTCATTAAAGTACATCTCTTAGACTCCTGACTGGACCCCACCTACCTGATGCAACAACCACATCATTCCCACCTCCAACTCAACCTGACCCCACTATGCCTGACAACATACCTGTTGACTGATATCCACAAACTACCAATTTAACTCTGCTGGACGTGATACCACCTCCCTCACAACCACCATCACCATGACAGCTTTATTGTTTCACAGTGGAAGGTTATGTAGCTCAATCCAAGACTGGGAACTTAAATCTGAACAAAGAAAACTAAGGAAGTGTGAGGGGAAAAATGGCTCTGGTAGCTTGGGAAACTGCATTAGAAGGTATGATAATAGATAGGAAATGTCTAAAAATTAAACATTTAATACATGGTTTACAACAAATTCTCGTTCCTTTGTGGCACTAAAGGAAGCATGTCAGGTGATCTAACCATGGCTAATGAGAGACATTAAAGATTGTATTAAATCAAAAGATGAATCTTACAGAGTTGTCAAAAAAGTAATATGCCTGAAGGTTGAGAATGTTTTAGAATTCAACAAAGGCGGATCAAAAAACTGAAAAAGATAAAAGGAATGGAATCCGAAAGCAAACTAATGAGGGACCTAGAAGCAGTCTAGAGAAAGCTGTTTTATAAAAAGGGATAGATTAGCAAAGAGAAATGTTGATTGACTATAGGTTGGGACAGGGGAATTTATAAAGGGGAATAACAGAGACACTAAACAATATTTTGTGATAACAAGGTATAGAGCTGGATGAACGCAGCAGGCCAAGCAGCATCAGAGGAGCAGGAAAGCTGACGTTTCGAGTCCAGACCCTTCTTCAGAAATGGGGGAGGGGAAGGGGATTCTGAAATAAATAGAGAGAGAGGGGGAGGTGGATAGAAGATGGATAAAGGAGAAGATAGTTGGAGAGGAGACAGACAGGTCAAAGAGGCGGGGGTGGAGTCAATAAAGGTGAATGTAGGTGGGGAGTTAGGGGAGGGATAGGTCAGTCCAGGGAGGATGGACAGGTCAAGGAGGCAGGATGAGGCTGGTAGGTAGGAGATGGGGGTGGGGCTTGAGGTGGGAGGAGGGGATAGGTGAGAGGAAAGACAGGTTAGGGAAGTGGGGACAAGCTGGGCTGGTTTTGGGATGCAGTCGGGGGAGGGGAGATTTTGAAGCTTGTGAGGTCCACATTGATACCATTGGGCTGCAGGGTTCCCAAGCGAAATATGAGGTATTGTTCCTGCAACCTTCGGGTGGCATTATTGTGGCACTGCAGGAAGCCCAGGATAGACATTTCGTCCAAGGAGTGGGAGGGGGAGTTGAAATGGTTCGCGATTTTGTCGTGAACTGAGCGTAGGTGTTCCACAAAACGGTCCCCAAGCCTCTGCTTGGTTTCCCCGATGTAGAGGAGGCCACATCGGGAACAGCGGATACAGTAAATCACATTAGCAGATGTGCAGGTGAACATCTGTTTGATGTGGAAGGTCTTCTTGGGGCCTGGGATGGGGGTGAGGTGGGAGGTTAGGGGCAGGTGTAGCACTTCCTGCAGTTGCAGGGAAAAGTGCCGGGGGTGGTGGGGCTGGTGGGGAGTGTGGAGCGGACAGGGAGTCATGGAGAGAGTGGTCCCTCTGGAAAGCAGATAAGAATGGGGAGGGAAAAATGTCTTTGGTAGTGGGGTCAGATCGCAGATGGCAGAAGTGCCAAAGAATGATGCGTTGGATCCGGAGGTTGGTGGGGTGGTATGTGAGGACGAGGGGGATTCTGTTTTGGTTGTTATTGCGGGGAGGGGGTGTGAGGGATGAATCGCGGGAAATGCGAGAGACACGGTCGAGGGCGTTCTCGACCACTGTGGAGGGGAATTTGCGGTCCTTGAAAAATGAAGACATCTGCGATGTCCGGGAGTGGAATGCCTCATCTCGGGAGCAGATCCAGCGGAGGCGAAGGAATTGGGAATAGGGGATGGCATTTTTGCAGGAAGGTGGGTGAGAGGAGGTGTATTCTAGGTAGCTGTGGGAGTCGGTAGGCTTGAAATGGATATCGGTTTCCAGGTGGTTGCCAGAGATGGAAACAGAGAGGTCCAGAAAGGAGAGAGAGGTATCGGAGGTGAACTTAAGGTTGGGGTGGAAGGTGTTGGTGAAGTGGATGAACTGTTCGAGCTCCTCATGGGAGCACAAGGCGGCGCTGATACAGTCATCGATGTAACAGAGGAAGAGGTGGAGGATAGGGCCAGTGTAGCTTTGGAAGAGGGATTGTTCCACGTATCCTACAAAGAGGCAGGCATAGCTTGGGCCCATGTGGGTACCCATGGCCGCCCCCTTTGTCTGTAGGAAGTGGGAGGAATTGAAGGAGAAGTTGTTAAGGGTGAGGACAAGTTCAGCTAAGCGGATGAGGGTGTCAGTGGAGAGGGACTGGTCGGGCCTGCGGGACAAGAAGAAGCGGAGGGCCTTTAGGCCATCTGTATGGGGAATGAAGGTGTATAGGGACTGGATGTCCATGGTAAAGATGAGGTGTTGGGGACCAGGGAATCCGAAGTTTTGGAGGAGGTGGAGGGCGTGGGTGGTGTCACGGACGTAGGTGGGGAGTTCCTGGACCAAGGAGGAGAAAATGGAGTCGAGATAAGCGGAGATAAGAATGGATTCGAGACAAGTGTAGAAGGGTCTAGACCCAAAACGTCAGCTTTCCAGCTCCTCTGATGCTGGTTGGCCTGCTGTGTTCATCCAGCTCTACACATTGTTATCTCAGATTCTCCAGCATCGGCAATCCCCACTATCTCTGAATAAACAATATTTTGTGTCTATCTTCATGGAGAAAGATATAAAAATCCTCCCTGGAATACTGGAGAACCAGGGGACTTGTAAGAGTAAGGAACTGAAATAAATTAATCTTCACAAAAAAGTTGTACTGGAGAAATCATTGAGAGTAAAAGGTGATAAATCTCTGGGATCTGATGATCTACATAACAGAGTCTTGAAAGAGGTGTTTGTAAAGAATGGATGCAGTGGTGGTCAACTTAAAACATTTTATAGGTTCTGGGACAGTTCCTGCAAATTGGAAAATGGGAAATGTAATTTATGATTTATGAAGGGACAGAGAGAGAAAATGGGGAACTACAGACTTGTGACTTGACATCAGTAACAGGGAAATGCTAGAAACTATTATAACAGTGTGATAGCCGTACAGTTGGAAATCAATGGTGGAACTGGCAAACCAGTAAGAACGGTTTGAGGTTGCAAGTAGCGGAATAGATAAGGAGGAACCAACAGTTATGGTGCATTTAAATTTTGAGAAGGTTTTTCATAAGATCTCACACAGGAGATTGTAAGTACAACATAAGAACATAAGAACATAAGAGCTAGGAGCAGGAGTAGGCCATCCGGTCCTTCGAGCCTGCTCCGCCATTCAATAAGATCATGGCTGATCTTTTCGTGGACTCAGATCCACTTACCCGCGTTCTCACCGTATCCCTTAATTCCTTTACTGTTCAAAAAAAATCTACCTTATCTTTAAAAACGTTTACTGAAGTAGCGTCAACTA